TGCAGAGTTTTCACGCACGCTAAAATCGATGCCAATCAGTGTAATTTGTACAGATTATAATATATGCATTAAATTTAGTTTGTTTTTATTCAATTTGAATATACAATAAAAAGCAAAAAATAGTTTACAGGAAAGATTTTATTTTTATTCATGTTTTTTTTCTGTTAATCTAAAAGTAAAAAAAAAATAATTGTCTTAAAATTGTGCATGTAGCGACCAGCGTCACAATCACGAGCAGACGATACAGTAAACAGTGTAGAGACAACACTCAGTTCATGTATTTCTCGTCAACCACAAAATGGATAAAAAAACAGTTTCGGAACTTAAAAAAATCTTAACGGACAGAGGAATACCATGCAAAGGAAAGCTTTGGGCAGAATTAGTGACTTTAGCACAAAAGGCCGTTAAACTCTAACGTGAAAGAGAGGGTTGTGATCACGAACTGGTAAATTTCACCCAAGTCACGGCCTTCATCCACCCCCATTTTTCAGGGTTCTTACGCTTGGAATCATGAGCCCAGCACTGTGCAGCCTCACAAAAGAAAACCATCGTCACTGATGTCAAAAGACGCAAAAAACAACGAATGAAATGTTCAAATAAACGTTGAAATATTTGCGAAAAAAAAACAAGACCGAGCAGACGACATATTCGGTGCATACACGTTGTGTGGCGACGGCGTTTTACGTTTGCGCTATCGCGCCTAGTAATATAGCGCCTGCACAGGAAGCTGTAATGTCGAAAAGCTATCCCATAATGCAATGCGCGTTTTCAGGATTTTCCCCGGATCTCGGCAGAATCGCTATTTGGGGTAGCGAGAATTATTTCTAAAGTAGCGATTTTGAGTGAAATTAGATCTAACAGTTAGACTAGAGTCATTTGTCTAGACTAGTCTAGACTCTAGAATCTAGTAGTTGAGTTTTGTAAAGACTAAAGTGGTAGGTCTAGGCCGCCCTAGGCAAATTCATGCCAAAAAATATATTAAAAAAATTGACTTGAAAACACATCAGACAATTAGTCTGAACCGAGTCGCGAGTAAATTTGAAGAAATTACATTTTTAATTGTTGTAGAGTAAAACCGCCAAACTTCGGATGTTGCCAAGCTTTGGACAAAAATCACTTCAACGGCTTGAACGCAAAATGTGAGCCTAGCTAGGCACATTCATGGGGCACTAGAGGGCGCTTTGCGCGCGTACGAAAATCTGAATGGCCTTGCTGCGGTGGGTCGGCAATAATCAGCCCAAAACTTGGATATGGGAGGGTGGAAGGATATATCTTTTTATGCCTCCGCCACCGAAGGTGGTGCCGGAGGCATCATGTTTTCGGGTTGTCCGTCCGTACGTCCGTCCGTCCCGTTTGACCGTTATCACAATATCTCAAGAACCATTTAAGATTTAAACTTAAGACTCGGGAATAGTATTTATCACCATAGGAAGACGATCTGATTAGATTTTGGAGTACGTAGGTCAAAGGTCACAGGTCACAGAGGTCAACTTATGAAATTCCTTGTATTGAGTTTGTTAGCGCGATATCTCAAGAACCATTTGAGATTTAAACTTCAAACTTAAGGATAGTATGTATCACCATAGGAAGACGATCTGATTAGATTTTGGAGCACGTATGTCAAAGGTCAAGGGTCACAGAGGTCAACTTATGAAATTCCATACATTGAGATTGTTATCATGATATCTCAAGAACCACTGGAGATTTAAACTTCAAACTTAGTGATAGTGTGTATCACTATAGGAAAACAATCTGATTACATTTTGGAGCACGTAGGTCAAAGGTCAAGGGTCATAGAGGTCAACTTATGAAATTCCATACATTGAGATTGTTATCATGATATCTCAAGAACCACTGGAGATGTAAAAACTTCAAACTTAAGGATAGTATGTATCACCATAGGAAGACGATCTGATTAGATTTTGGAGCACGTAGGTCAAAGGTCAAGGGTCACAGAGGTCAACTTATGAAATTCCATACATTGAGATTGTTATCATAATATCTCAAGAACCACTGGAGATTTAAACTTCAAACTTAATGATAGTGTGTATCACCATAGGAAGACAATCTGATTAGATTTTGGAGCACGTAGGTCAAAGGTCAAAGGCCACAGCGCACATTATGAATGCAAAAACAGCTTGTGATCGCGTTACCTCAAGAACTGATTGATGGATTCATGCCAAAATTAGGTCATGTTTGTTACTTGCAGAGCCAATGAACTGAGTAGATTCTTGGTTCATAAGGTCAAAGGTCAAAGGTCATGGGCCCATTATGTATGCAAAAATAGCTTGTGAACGCATTCTCATTAGAACTGACAGATGGATTACTATTTAACTCAGAACATCTTGCAGAGCCAATGAACTGAGTAGATTTTATGGTCATGAGGTCAAAGATCAAAGGGTCATATATGTATATGAGAAATTGTTTGTAATCACAATATTCTGAGAACCTGTCAATGGATTACCATTGAACGTGAATTCAATTTTTTTTTTCTGTTTTGGTTTGTAAAATTGCTCTATAACGGAGGCATCATTTTCGACTGCGCGCAGTCGAATTCCATCTAGTTTATAATGTTATCTGGTCTTACCCTTAACCATCCTATGTTTAATCTATGTAGAAATAACATGCGAGTACGATAAGAGAAACATCGGGCCCATTACTGATGCAACTTTTAAAATATTAGCCTAGAAATGACCACCAAACAGAAAAAATTGAAATTTTTTCCCGACAAATCTTCATAAAATCTGATTTATAAACAAGTCACATCTAGGTACACTAATACAAATACGATTTTCTGAAAATTCAGGTATTATTTTTGAAGTTTCTTTCAAGTATATTTCTGCGCATTGCAGCGCCAATGTTCTTCACTGCTTCAAAATCACCCTTGATTTTTTTTTTTGCAACGAATTTGTTACGAGGTCCGCGAGTGTTCCCCGTTCCTTGCGTGTTGAAAGTTTGGTAATACATAGTTTACATTGACTCGCGCACGAAAAAATGGTCGAAAACAAAATGTCAAATGAAGAAATAAACAAGCTTTTGTATAGTTATAAGAGTTCTACCGAGGTTTCTTTGTCGATTTAATTTATTATATAGTCTCAATTAGAATTCAGAATTATCTCACTGAAAAGTTAAGAAACCGACGATGTTCTCGATCGTAGTTATTTTCATTTTGCCAGCAGCCGATCTAGCGTTGTTTGGGCAAAAAGCTAGGCCGCTGCCTTCCCATCGCAAACCTTTCCGAGTCTCGCTAAAATGGCGCGCTGCGGAGCTCCGAAGCTGCGTTGGTATCGCTGCAAACTCTCAGCCGGCTAGCTCCCCAAGACGGACCATTCGCGGTATGGCGAGATTGTGTGTGTGAGGTACGATTTTGGATTCGAGAACGCACGTAATGCAACCGTGCGCGTCATATTCAGCTGTCGAATGTCTACGACCAATTTTACATGTACGATTTTTAGTACAGATATTTGGTCAGTTTTCTTCTTATATCTTTGGTTTTACAACATTTAAAAATATAATTTCTTTAAATTTGCTCCTGACTCGGTTCAGACTAATTGTGTGATGTGTTTTCAAGTCAATTTTTTGAATATATTTTTTTGCATGAATTTGCCTAGCCTAGCTCAGGCGGGTAACTTGCATGCATTTGATACTACTACTAACCTATATCGTTAGTACAAAAAGTTAGGGCAGGTTGCCGTCTGCAAAACTCACAAAAAACATCGAATTCAGAGACAGATTTCAGGTTACCTAGATTTTTACAGTTCCTTAATAGGGGAGTTAAGGTGTAGAGCCTCTAATATATCGATTACAAACAAATCCTTGGCATATTTCAGGTGGTTTCTGCCAAAATTATGGGAGCTTATGAGATACTTTTTCACTCTATCGCGAAAATGTTCTAATGGCGGCCGTTACCACGGACCTAGGGGTACTAGATAGATTCCCCTACCAGAAGATGGCGCTCTTCCAAGCTTCGGACAGGCAACATTGAGTGTCATTTTGACTACGAAAAAATAGCGCTTTCGTAAGATTTTAGCACCAAAATATTGTACGAGTGTTGTGAAAAACACCTTTCTGATAGTTCTATCTTATTTAAATCTACCCAAAACGAAAAAATAATACTTTTTTTCATGAAATCAACACAGTCAAACTTACCCCCGTCGTACGATTTTGATCCGGTTTCCAAACCTCCGATGAATGCGCACTTTAGCGCGCGCGCTATGTGCTGTACGTGCGCTATACGTGCGCTACACATGAACGTCCGAAGGTTAGCAAGTGCGTCCGAAGCTTGGCATGAAAACAGGTTCGGCGGGTAAGTAAATAATTATAGTTTTCCATTTCTTACTAATTTTCTTTTACATGATATACATAAACAGTATTTGTACAATAATAATATATTTGATCTTTCAATAATTAAAAAAAGAATTTAATGTTTTCCCCCGTTTTGTCTTAAGTGTCCGAAGTTTGGCGGTTTTACTCTACAACCAAAGATATAAGAAGAAAACTGACCAAGTATTCGTCCTCAAAATCGTACATGTAAAAATGTCCTTAGACATTCGACAGCTGAAAATGACGCGCACGGTTGCGTTACGTGCGTTCTCGAAACCATAATCGTACCTCGCACACACACACACCATCGTGGGGAGCTAGTGGGCTGGGAGTTTGCCATATGCCATATCAATGCACCTTCGGAGCTCCGCAGCGTGCAATTTTAGCGGAACTCGAAAGGTTCGTGGTGGGAAGGTGGCGGGCTAGCTTTTTGCCAGAACAACGCTAGATCAGCTGCTGGCAAAATGAAAATAACTCAGGGGCGGATCCAGCTTTTTATAAAGGGGGGGGTTGGGGTGGTATGCGAGGGAGCGTAGCGACCGAGTCCAAGCGAGCGGAGCGAGCGAGGGGGGAGGGTGTGGGAGGGGGGTTTCCCCCCTCCCACAGTAGGGAAAATTTTTGAAAATCTGTGTGTGAAAATGGCGTTTTCTTGCATCTAAAACACCACTATTTTTGGTATAGAGGTCGTTGCCAAATTAACCCCCATGAAAATTTGTAAAATTAAGTTGCATTTTCCTGCAATGTAAGGCCTGTTAACAACACAGATACAAAGAATTGGGGACCCTGGAATAAGCACTGTTAGCCTAATACTTTTATTATGAACAGCTTGTCACTAATACTCACTGGCAAATCTCAGTCAAATATGATGGACTGGCAGAAGAGACGCCTTGGATGTTTCTGTACAAATCCCTGAACTATTTTGCTGGAACTTAGCTGCAGGGTTGCCTGGTAGTGGATAGCCATGAGGGTGAGTCCAGCAAGCCTCTCTTCCCCCATAGTAGATCGAAGATATGTCTTTACTCTTCTGAGTGCCGAAAAAGAACGTTCAGCCTCGCAGCTGGTGACTGGAGACGTGCAGCCCAGAATGATCAGCGTCCTGATGTTAGGAAAAAAGTCCTCATCAGCATGTCCCAGGCAGTCAACCAAGTTCTCAGGAAGCTGAGCTTTGTCCATGTTTTGAAAAAATCTTGTCCAGCTCTGGATCTCTGCCTGAAACATAAATATATTAAATATCACAGTGCTGTCTCTTGGTGTCAAACAATTATTAATATTGAGTACATTCAAGTGCCAACATAAGTATACAACTGTTTTCTGCATGGTGGGTGTCGATGATCCCGGGGGGATGGGGGATATATCCTCCCCCCCCCCCTTCATGACCCATAAAATCATCCCCCACCCAATATTGAAGGTCATAAGAATAAGAAAACTGGGAGAAAATGGTACCTTTAAGTTTTCTGGTGAAGGAAGATCTGCTTCCCAGAACATCAGCTCCTGCATCTGTTCGTCAAGAGCCTCTGCGTTAGTCAGGAGTACGCTCGGAAGAAGTCCCATAATGGACCTCATGCATCGGTTTTCTGGGGAGAATCTTTCTGTCAGACCTTGGCTGAAGCTATCCAGAAAGGGCACAGCTATCGCTCTCTTGAAATATGTGCTATAACCAAAGAGAACAAATGACAATATATTGTCATCATTGGAATATACTATCTTTACAGAACATATAATTGCATTTGGAACTGTACTGGAGATTGTTGAAGATAACTTTAATTAAAAAGAAATACTATTTCCATGTTACTCAAAAACTGGTAGAAACTATCCATGCCCAAGGAGAATAATTCCGCATACTGAGGAAGGGGTAGATCCCCCATTTCTTTAGTGACTGACATGGAGCTACTTGTTATATATCCTTTATTAACTAGAAAATAATGACAAGCTGTACAAATAATAGAATTATAGAAAACAAAGATGGTTATTTTTAGCAAAAGATGACCCCTCCGAACATTAGGCTCCCATCTTATTGGCTAGATTACTGATAATGAGTCATTAAAGTCAGTAGGTATTGTTCCTTAGTATTGCACATTGTCGTCAAGAATGCACAAAATAAAAAAATGAGAAAATATCAATGACATACTGGTATAGTATTCACCTTGGTGTATCAGCAGGAACATTAGCTCGATTTCTCTGCACATTGGTCGTTCTTGGAGTTTCCATGCTACTCCCAACGTCCTCTGCAATTGCACAAGACTCAATGAACCATTCATCCCACACTTCATCGATGTTCACGCGCATGCTTTGGATTTCCTTGGTGACAAAGTCAATGTGACCATACGCCTTAAATATGTCACTGTCTCTCTTCTGAAGTTTGACACTTAGTGCCTTTACCGGTTGCAGTCCATTTTTTGAGAACCACCAGTGCGCTGATATGAGTTCCACTGGTAAGGGAACATCTCAGGCCCTCTGCTTTTACCAGGGTTTCTCTGTTCCAGTCCCAGTCTTCATAGTTCTCATCTTCTCCACTTTCTTCAGGTGCAGTTGTCAGCAGTGGATAAAGACCTGGTGTCACCATGGAGTGCAAGCAGGTGACAATGTATTTGTACAGAAGCACCAGGGTTTCCAGGCAGTCATGGCGCTCCACCCATCTCGTCTTACAAAGGCCCTTCAGCTTCTTTACCTTTTGTTCAGGTGCATAAACCTGGAGCACAAACTCCAAGTACCGTTGCCTCTTTGGGGAGAGTTGAAAGAAGAGGTACAGCTCGTTAATGATCCCAATCACATTGCGCAGTGCCTGAACTTTGCAGGAGCCAGCTACGGCCAGATTCAAGACATGTGATCTGCAGTGGGTATAAAGAGCAAGTGGATTCTGGGCCTTGATCTGTGCCTGGGTACCAACATTGCTGCTAGACATTGCACTTGCCCCATCATAAGCCTGACCTCTAATGTTTTTCACATCTAAACCATTTCTGCGGAGGATGGACATGATAGCCTTCCCCACCTTCTCTCCAGTGGCGCGTCTGAGGTGAATGAAGTCAATGAAGACTTCCTTGATCTGTGGGTGATCAGCTGTTGACAGATCAAGGAATCTGACACAGACAGAAAGCACCTCTTGGTTGGCATGGGGATCAGTGACTTCGTCAGCTATGATGCTATAGAAAGTTGTTTTCTTGAGAGGGTGCAAGAGCTCCTCCTTCAGACATTCTGCTGCTGTTAGGATGATATCATTTTGGATAGTCTTAGAGATGTATTTCTGGTTCTTCTTGCCTCTTCGCAGATTTTCATCCAGCACTGGATCCCTGGCAGCTGTGTGTTCCAGTAAAGCCAGAAAGTTCCCTCTGTTAATTAGGGGGTTGGCTGTGCTGTCATCTCTATGTCCTCTCAAGGACAAACCCTGTCTTGCCAGTAGTAGAATTATTTCCACGATCTCGACCAGGATGTGACGATTGGTTTCAGATAGTCGCTGAGCCTCATAACTGAGTTTGTTGTCAATTCTAGACTCAGGATTCTGGTAAGTGCTGATAAAAGCCTTTGCTGTGTCAGTAGCCTGCTTGTGGTACATGTTGGCAGCATGGTTGGTGAGGATGCCATCTTTGCCCTTGGCACGAGCAAACTTGGTGAATGGGACTTTCACTAGAACTCCAAAAGTACTCTTGTTGCTCTTTGCATACAAGGTACAGTATTTGCAGAAACCACCCTTTTGTGATGGTGAATATACCAGCCATGGGTACTCTTCAAGCCAGGAAATCTGGAAGCTAACTTTCCAATTGTTGCCGCCCTTTCTAACTTCTTGGAATGCCAGCATGCTGCTCTTGTCAGGCTTGAAATGGTTTGTCAGGAGCTGAAACTTTTTTGTGTCCGAGAGTTTTGATTTCTCATCTGGAGCAAGCAAACCGACATCAATGACATCAACATCCATGGCAGACTCCTCAAACTATAGATTGACATCAGGACTATTACTACAGACTCCACCTGAAGTAGACCCAACCCCACCCCCAGCAGAACTAGGACTGTCATCACTGCAAAGGACACTGTCACCACTGGTATTTGTATCACCCTGATCAGAAGCCACTTTGTGATCATCCTTCTCAGACCTGTATAAAGGATGTGAAAACACTAACTTCAATAGCTACTATTTACTAAACCTGTTCATTATCATGACCATCCTGTAAATGATGAACTAATCCTGCAAACTAAAATATTTGTTAAATGTTGTGTTTTTTAATGAGAAAATATAGTTTTTAATCATTGTTACAGCAAATAAAATTACTTAATTTTTGTGGCCCAAAAGGACAACTGCCAAAAAAGTTCATATGAAGCTCTGGGAAATGCAAACATAATTAATATTCTATTCTACTGGCCGAACGGGCCATTAAAATTTTCCTACTCACATTCTAAAAAAAATTGTTAATGGCAGTTTGATCACTTTCCTAAATATGCCCAAGTATAATTGATTCAATTTTAACTTAAACTAGTCAAAATTAATACAGTAGGTATCATACCCGGCAAGGGGGGGGGGGGGCAGGAATACCTGGCCCAAAAAGTGGTAGGCAAGTGCCGCTGGCAAAAAAAATAGGGGGCATCGCCATCGGCAAGGGGATACTATGAAAAATAGGGGGCATTGGAACGACCGGAATGGCAGATTGGAAGGAAAACCCAATGCTTTGGAACAGTTTTTTTTTTTTTTTTTTCATTGACAAGAAAAAACAGCATGCTTTGGAACGTTGTTTTTTTTTTGTATTTTTTCATCTACAAGACAAAAAGTGTGATGTACAAGAACGGCTTCGAGCGAAAAAAGGCGATGCAACTCAGCGGCACATACCTACTACCCATTTTCTAAATGGCATTTTGAACTTAATACCCCCCCCCTCCCCCGGGTTATCATTTAAACATGGTATTATGAAGTATAGTTACTCGGATATGCTATCTACAGAAGATATGAAACTACTCTGTTATACAGTTATAGAAGAAAAAATCAAAGCATAAGTATAAGAGTTGTATACTTTGTTATTTTGCCGTTGGCTTAGCCTTAGATTACTCAGCGATTCATCAATCCCAAAACACGCCTGCGCTCTGGCAGAGAATTTGCACACACACCGTACACAGCTACTCAAATTGCAAGCTGACCAGTCGGGCGACTGAGCGCCCTTTCCCCGCGAAGCGTGGGCGCTGGATGTGTTTTATTTACTCAAATTGTAGTAATACAACACGTCCGTATTACACCCCCATGTATGGTAATTTACCCTGTATGCCAACTTTTTTGCATGATTCAAACATACCTTCCAGTAAAAAAAGATGCGAGACTCGATTGCCGCAACTTCTTTGCCCTGTTTGCTTCCATATTGCTTGTCACTACACTCAGACCAGACTGATAAAAAAGTGAGCAACTTGAACAAGTAATCCAGGAAATGAGCAGCCCAGCTCAGCGTGCGTTGCCAGGTTAAATCTTCACAAAATCCCCACCCAAACGACACTTAAAATATCCCCAAAGTTGCCAAATTTTGACAGAAAATCCCCAAATTCGTTTTTCATAAAACTCAATATTATTTTCATTCCCAAATATTTATTTTTCATCCCCAAAGACTTCAACAATCCCCCAATTTTTTTTTTTTTTTTAATGTGGGGATTTTGGGGATGAGAATCGGCAACGCTGGCCTAGCTTGTCACTTCGGCGGTGGCCCATGTCCTCAAAAAAGCTGATGGGGGGGGGGGGCAAGGGACTCTGTGACATTTGTTCGCCCAACCCCCCCCCCCCCCTCCCCCCAAAAAGAAATAATAATAATAATAATAATAATAATAATAATAATAATAATAATAATAATAATAATAATAATAATAATAATAATAATAATAATAATAATAATAATAATAATAATAATAATAATAATAATAAATGAAATAAATACATAGAAATAGAATAAAATAAAATTACAAGTTTAAAAAAAAAGATAAGATTTAAAAAAATGGTCCCCGGATTTTTTTTTTGGGGGGTTGCAACCCCCCCAACCCCCCCTCTAGATCCGCTTCTGTAACTACGATCGAGAACATCATCTGTTTCTTAACTTTTCAGTGAGATAATTCTGAATTCTAATTGAGACTAGGCCTATATAATAAATTAAATCGGCAAAGAAACCTCGGTAGAACTCTTTTAACTATACAAAAGCTTGTTTATTTCCATTTTGACATTTTGTTTTCAACCATTTTTTCGTGCGCAAGTCAATGCAAACTGTGTATTACAAAATTTTTCAACACGCAAGGAACGGGGAACACTCGCAGTCCTCGTATCAAATTCGTTGCAAAAAAAATTTCAAGGGTGATTTTGAAGCAGTGAAGAATATTGGCGCTGCAATGCGCAGAAATATACTTGAAAGAAACTTTAAAAATCATACCTGAATTTTCAGAAAATCGTATTTGTATTAGTGTACCTAGATGTGACTTGTTTATAAATCAGATTTTATGAAGATTTGTCGGGAAAAAATGTTAATTTTTTCCGTTTGGTGGTCTTTTTTAGTCTCTAGGCTAATATTTAAAAAGTTGCATCAGTAATGGGCCCGATGTTTCTCTTATCATACTTGCATGTTATTTCTACATAGATTAAACATAGGATGGTTAAGGGTAAGACCGGATAACATTATAAAAAAGATATATCCTTCCACCCTCCCATATCCAAGTTTTGGGCTGATTATATGCCGACCCACCGCAGCAAGGCCATTCAGATTTTCGTACGCGCGCAAAGCGCCCTCTAGTGCCCCATGATCAAATGTGCCTAACATAGCTGCATCACTATCCTGGCTGTGTAGTAAAAGAGGCAACACTGTACTGCAGTGAATTGCAGGCCAGACACGGATCCAAAAGAGAGAGAGAGAGAGGGAAAAGAAGGGAAAGGGAAAGAGGTGAGAAAGGGAAAGAAAGAAGAGGGTGAAAAGAAGGGGAGATCAGTTGCGATTATTCCCGCCAACAACGTGTGGATCGAGGGGGGGCTGAAAGGCCCTTGCCTCCCCCAGCAAACTTAAAAGAGAAAGAGGAGAGAAAGGGAAAGAAAAAAAGAGAAATAAGGAAGGTAGGGGAGATCAGTTGCGATTTTACTTCAAAAAGTAGATTCTTTTCTTTATTTCCGTAATGAAATTCATGTTGAGACACAGAGATTTTTGAAAACTACTAAAAAGTAGCATTTTGAGGACTCAAAGTATTCTGTACCTGTATACGGTGCACCCCGACTTTTGAAGAAAAAAAGAAGAAAAAAAATCTCTTCCCTTCAAATTAGGAACGTAGCTTTACTTCAAATAGTAGATTCTATTCTTTATTTCCATTATGAAATTCATGTTGACACACAGAGATTTTTGAAAACCACTAAAAAGTAGCATTTTGAGGACTCAAAATATTCTGTACCTGTGTATACGGTGCACCCCGACTTTTGATTTTTCTCCGACGGAAAAAAAGTGCACCTTATACACGGAGATTTACGGTACTGTTTTAAGCTCTCCATAGGAGCAACAAAGTGTTGCCGATAATTACTGTTTTTAGATCTCCGTCGGGGCAACAAAGTCTTGCCGTTGATTATTGTTTTTAGATCTCCGTAGGGGCAACAAAGTCTTGCCAATATGTACGGGCTAGCCTCAGGGACTTGCCTAGTAAACTCATTTGCAAGTCCAGTTAGTGGAACAATGAACTTACTATCATCTCGTTTAGACGATGGCAATTTCGGCCGCATAAAAGTTGTGTTATGAGCTATAATCTGTAGTCAGCGTTAATATGGTGAGGTCAGCGTAAAGGTCAGAGTAGTGACTGCCTGAACAATAGTCGTGTTAGCTACGCCTACCTTTACGTCGACCAGTTTACTCGTTGATTTATCCAGGAGTAACGCGTTAACACGACAGGAGCGTAGCGTAATTAACCGTGTGGATGCTCTCACTTGGCACTCAGAGGATCTGTGACCATTCGCGAGGGTTTTTTTACAATTGAAAATGAAAATTTGATTTTGCACGGTGTAGATGCGGAAGATGGGTTGAGGTCAACTAGTGTGGGCGCCATCACGTCCAGGGGCGGATCAAAAGGGCGTGGGGGCGCACCCCACCCCCTTTTATCTTCAAAAAAGAAGAAGAAAAAAAAGGGGTAGATTTCACCTACCCAAAGACTTTACACGAGAGTGTGTGGTGTGTGTACACATTCAATGACATTGATTATTTTACAAGAAGGCAAAACAATTTATACTAATCCTAAGTCTTGGATGGCTTTGAGTGTGATAAAAGAATATAGTGTTCAAGCTATGACAGTATGAGAAATCTACACGATAAAGCCTTACAATATAATTATTATTATCTACATGTATATCAGGCTGACTAACAAAATAAATGCACATCTGGCACAGTGACCAGCGAAAGTGTTGTTGATTTTCGATAATCAAGCAATATTGTATCGACAGTTGGAAGTTCCCGGATGACAGAGCAATACAAAAACAATATTGATCTGTCATCCGGGTACTGCGCTAAAGATATCAAATACACTGATTTATTGTAGGACTACCACTTGGAAGCCTATACATGTAGATAAAGATGTTTCATATTGTCTCACAGATAACATGGCGACAAAGCATGCTTGTTTGGCGTCTGTCTCAAGTACAAATGGAGGAGAGGGAACTCTTCAGTCATCACAGGAACATGATGAAGGTATGGAGTGTTTCAACGTGTTGTGCTGTATTTGGTAATGTTTCTGATGACTAATGACAATTGAGTTCAGTATATACTCTCTCTCATCTATCTCAAAATAATTGTGGGTGTGATTTCTTTTGTTTTTGTTTGTGTTGCTTTGAGACCGAAGTCTGTTTTTATTCATGAAGCATAACGTTAAACATTAAAATTACAAAGGTGTGAAGAGTAGAACTATTGCAAGTCTGAAAAACTTTAAACACCTTAAAAAGGAGCTGGACCTTATAGATGGTACCTCTAGCTAGAACAAGAGTTGTGCAAAAACAGGAAATTGAGGTGATCCCTTACACCTTTAGATAAAATAGTTAGGAAGGCTCTCTCTCAAAACAAAAGAAGAATTATAAGGATACAGTAAATATACAGATAATTTAGTCTCTGCACTGATTAAAAAAATAATATTAAAGCTTTATTCAATACACTGAACAAAGTATTGTGATTAACGAATGTTAGGCATGTGCAATTGACAATTTAAAGGGAGATTGCTGGCAGTTTCCATGTGCAGAAGGTCATATTTTGCTGACACCACAGTTAACACCAGACTTGACACCAGACTTGGTGGAAGTACCGTTGTATTATAGAAATGATAAGTGTAATGATCAAGAATTTTAATGATTTTTATTTTGACATGTACAGGAAACATCAGCATCAAGGAGGAAGGAGATATTAAGAAGGAGACATGCATTTCCATTCCAGGTTCAGATGGATTGAGATATGAGGGTCAGCTTGTAACTCATGATGGTATGCTATAGGTTCTTGAAGGAAAATCAAACATTTAAATATAAGGGTCAGCTTGTAACTCATGATGGTATGCTATAGGTTCTTGAAGGAAAATCAAACATTCAGATATGAGGGTCAGCTTGTAACTCATGATGGTATGCTATAGGTTCTTGAAGGAAAATCAAACATTAATAGCAAATATGCTCTGAGAGAAAGCAAAAAAATGGGATAATTGGAATGGTGAAAGTTAGAACAACATCGTACAAGAAATAAGTGAGTTATGAGTGTTTAAGGTATGATATCTCTAAATCCATTCAAATCTCAAAATTGGGCTATTTGATTTTTAATACTGGAGTTTTTCTCTTAAGCTCCTTCTCCTTTGGGGCACTACTAAAAATATATTTTGTATAACATAATATTAAAGGTTCTCTCTCTAAGAAAAGACACTCCCAAGTCATATGTTTTGAAAAATTGATGTTTTAGTCATTTTGTGTGTTGGAACAAATGGGATAGTTGTCCAGCAGTTCATCATATACAAATTCAGCCAATTTGAAGTGCCCATATGTTTAGTATTTACAACTTTCGAAAATTCATAACTTTCTTATTTTTTGTCTGATTTTGTTCAAACTTTCACCCGCCTGCTTCTCAGATTTGTCTACTTTCTTTTCGAGTAGTTTGCTATCAGGGTTGAGTATCACTTAAAAGGAAAATCAAACCTTAAATTGTTTGAGCCAACTAGAAAATGCTTGCAAAGTCCAATAAAAAAAACCCTGAAAATATCCATATTATAGATCAAACTGCATACATTTATAGATCTATGTCCTTCAATGATCTTTCCCCTCTGTTTCATACCAAGACATTCATTCTTGGGAGTTATTGGCATATCACCTTTTATTTTGCTATAAAATTCATTCCTCTCTTTATAGCCAATAATAAGTAACCAGATTAAATTTTCCTTCTCAGATGATATAAAAAATATCTTTACTTTGTTCATAACAGGCCTGGTCTTCACCATCAAACAAGAAGTTGACACAGACATGTTTGAATTCCTCTCAAGTGCAGAAGGACAAGACCTATCGACTGAACAAGGTATCATGAAGTTATCAAGAGAATTCTTTTGAACAAATGCGCTCAGGCCTTAGGGTGGTCAACAACCCCAAAACATAAAAACAAAACAAGACAAATCAAAATGTAAAATTGGAACATGAAAGGAGTATGTACTGAGGCATGCATTGCATGAAGTCCAATGTGGCTGGGCTCTGGGGTTTATAGATGCACTCTGGCGCAATCCTTATTTTAAAGCATTTCAAACAAATTTTGTACCTCATATTATTGAATGGTTTTTGGTGGGAATGAACATTAATCTGTTACTGAATATGTTAAAAACCCTTGTGGACCAACACAGAAGTAAATTAGTTAAAGGTAATACAAAGTTTTGGGAAATTTTGAAAATGGCTGGATAGCTATTCTTTAAAAAGTTGAATATCAAAATTTACCAGTGCTCCCAGTAATCCTAAAATAATTAGCAAATGCACAGCTATTAAAAAGAATGTTGAACATTTCTTCTTGATTTCCTTTACTTATAGAAATGGTCTATGCCACCATAAAGCAAGAAGACAAAGAAGAGATATTTGAACCTATTACAACTCACAGTGAAGGAGGAGGAGAAACTGAGCAATCAATTCCTGAAGGTATGATCAACATTCTTTCATTTTAAAGGCAAATCAAATCCTTAAAGGCGAAGTCCATTCTGATATTAATTTATGTAAAAAAAATCCCCCAAATAAGAGAGAAACAAATCAGGGTTAAGTATCCCTTAAAAGGAAAATCAACCTTTATATTTTAACAGGCTAGACCCAACAGTAATTAAAATATGGCTAGGTGAGCTTTTGTTTTTTGAAACAGGAACTTTGATTGAATGTACATTATATACCGTAAATCTCTGTGTATAAGGCGCACCCCTATTTTTGAGATTTTTGCTTTTTTGCCGACACCAACTGAATCGGCTCTTATATCAGCGTGCGGTCCCGTTCGGAAACCAAAGCCATGATGCAGGGAATTGGGAAGGACTTTTTATTTATTACGACTTTACAGTCAAAAAGTCAAAGTAAAAAAGAATAGTAACAATGTTGTTTTTAAAACTAAAGATGACAGAAAATTTGTCCTCCCGAGTCCAAACCGAAATTTAGACAGGCTAGTTTTGGAGTCGTGATTCGATATCCCCCGTGTGAGTGAGCTGCATGATACAGGTGAGTGAGCTGGAGACACGGGAGAGCTTTGGCCGGCAAAGTGCTTTGTGAAGGGGCATAATTGATCGAGACTGGAAAAAAAAAAAAAAAAATCTCTTCCCTTCAAATTAGGAACATAGTTTAACTACAAATAGTAGATCCTATTCTTTATTTGCATTATGTAATTCATGTTGAGACACAGAGATTTTCGGAAACCACTAAAAAGTAGCATTTTGAGAACTCAAAATATCCTGTACCTGTGTATTAGGCGCACCCCCGACTTTCGATTTTTCCCCGACGGAAAAAAAGTGCGCCTTATACACCGAGATTTACGGTAAACAAAGTGTACTAAAATAGGTTTCTGCGGCCAATTTCACACTTTTTTCATTCAAATTCATATTCCGAGCATTTTAATTCGCGCAATTCGCACTCGCAGCTCTGAATCAGCTTTCAAATTCAAAATCCGTCATTCAAATTCACTATCCGTGCAATGAAGTGTCATATCACTGGATCCAAAATGACACTCGGTTGCTTTATCCTTTCAACTCATCAAATATTGTACAAATATCACACTTTTTGTGGCATATTCAAAATATATAAATGCACATACCAAGATATGCCTAAGATAAGACATTTTCAAAAGTTTTGTTTATTTGGTGGTGGAATCGGTGTTATTTCTGAGTATTGTAAAATTGTGTACATGCTGATCTTAGGATGGGTGAAGTATACTTGTTCTTGTAAGGGGTGTTATCTGTGTTTTTTTCATGGAAAACTGATGTATTGTCATGACCTGATAATCAATATTTAGCAATTTTGTGTGAGTAAAATCACCAAAATTTCAAACAATCATGTGCGCATGCTTCCGCGCAGTGTTGGCATGCCGTTTTATTTTAGATTCATAGCGCCAGTTAGGAAATTACTGATTTATTCCAAAAATTACTGATTTTGAGCCTTATGATTACTGATTTTCTGTTCTGGAGGTTGGCAGCTCTGTTTGTATTGTTCTCATGCTCTCAGGCATGCATAGCCTAGGCTTTTACGTTGATAAATTCTACAGTATGTGATAATCAATATTAAATTAATGTTTTTCTGATGATTTTCATGCCGCAGAATGCAATGTAGTATACATTGCAAGTAAAAAAAAAACTGTAGGCAGGTAGGCCTACATGTAAGTCTATGCGGGGGGGGGGGGGGGGTGAGTTGACTGATACTGAAATTTGTTGTCGAAACATCATATAGCATATCAATGAATAATTTTACACCAATTTCGGGTGTTAAAAAACTTATTTCATGATGATAGCAGACAAAATTGACAGATTTTGACAGGTTTCGAGACAGAAATTTGCATATAAAATTTTATGCCAATTTATGATGTCATTAATAGTTGAAGACAATAAAATAAGTAAAAATAATTTTGTCTACTGTTGTATGATGTACAAAGATCGTTAATTAATTTGGTGGAGATTAGATTTATATCTGCTTAGAAACGGTAAAATATAAGCGCATAATTCTCATAGACCCTAAGAAAGCGTTCAAAACAAGAAAAACTGAAATTTTACATATCTTCAAATAAGGGGCAAAAAAACAATGTCTAAATGATTTTTTTCTTGGGAACATCTTTTTTTCTGATGACATGGATCACAATGAACAAAACGACACCGAAGTAGTAGGATCATAGGGGGGGGGGGGGGGGCTGCACGGTAGCCCCCTCTGGCCCACGGACTAATAGCGCTCATATCTGTCAGACTTGACACTCCTGGTACTCCCGATTATTACTATGGCTTTAATTTTCTTCTATTTTGTAACAACTTTTGTCTCTTCAATAAGATTTAAGCTAAACTATAATTGGACGATCACCTTTTCCTTGCTGAAGAAAGGTCGCCAACTCGATGGCTACGGTCTATTTCTTGCTCCTGTAGATCAACTTTAATTTGCTTAGCCTCTTCACAAACGAGAGTATTGGTATATTTTCCATGCTTCTCTTTAAGACCAAAGATTCTTTTGCAGCTGTGACGAGAAAACTGCTCTTATTTGTAACTTGGCATTTCAGGTTTTAAATTTTGTTGAGGCTCGTATCAGTTGACTTAGAAGATGTTTGATGGCTGTCTCCCTCTCATTCACCTTCATCTCGACATCCATCAAGGTTGATTTTGCTTTCTCTGATGAAGTGGGAAGGTACTGAAATTTGTTGCGAGTTCATCATAAACTTCAGTTAGTTTAATATCTGAATTTCTGAGACTTTCAATAGTTATGAAGCATTGATCATGATGATCAAGTTTCTGGTAAATGTCATCAAACTTATTTGAGATTTCATCTAATTTGCTACTAACATTGTTTGAGAGTGCCTCCTTAAAGTCGTCACTGTCTAGGAGCACCTTGATAGCATTTGCTGTTCGTTTAGGAGGCATTGTAGTGCTTCTAGCTAGCCTAGCCCTATATAGGGTCGACACTAATTACCACGTCACACAATCATGATTATCACACCAGTATTAGTAATAATGCATGTACGCAGTTCACTAAACGTTTCATCAAGTATGGGACCGTAGTAGATTATTTCGAAGATCCAACAATATCCATCAACAGTCTGCACAAGAATGGTAGCTAAATTCAACATTATCGATTCATAAGCGTTACCATTCCGTATTCTGTACCCTTTCATTCATTATGGTAAACAGATTTCGCCGTTCTCTTCCTCCTTATTGGCAATATATTCTTGTAGAAAGTAATTTTATCTTCCAAGTTTTAAAGATAAAGACCAGTTATGGTCATGTGATTGCTTTGTGAAAGAAACATTGTGGAATCGATCAGAAAAGGTTGATCATCTAGCATATAAGTATTGGTGTGTACTGCAAGGTTCTGGAATCATCAAAATGATAAGAAATTTGGCCCAGTCTTGGTAAAGTTACAAGCACTGTACACAGAAAGATGTATATGGGACTACTCACACGTGCGCGACACTGCGTTTATCTCTCACATACCAATATATAAACTAATTTACCAAATATATCAATCAGTAGGCGGTTTCCCGGCAAAATTGTTATCAGCACGTATTAGACAAAACATATTCTTTCACATGATTGGTAATAAGAGCTTCCATTTCATTTTTTGAAATTGGGGCGTTTCCATTACTGGTCTTTCCTTTTAAAAGGAGTCTGCCAGTCATATACCGTGTACATGAAAACAAAAAATACCCTTAACTTTCTTATTTTCTGGATGTCTGCCCAACAGTTTAAACCGAGTTTGGATAAACACTATAATATCAACAAAACTGCTGGCAAGTTCCAGAGTTCTGTTTGGGACCAGATATGGTTAAATTCATTTTGACTACATAGAAATCAAAGATAATCTAATTAGATGCATTTTGCTTGGTCCCATCAAAGTCAACTTGGGCGAAAATCAAATTTTCTTTGACTTACACACATATCGAAGATTTCAATGTATCCTGTCAAATCTGATGTAGGGTATGCGAATTTGTCTGTATTAAAGGTTTTAAGCAGTTACATGATAGTCTGCATCTAGGCAGACTGGATACGCCTGGTCATATTTCTTTACTCTACAGTGATTTTGATTTTGGCACTTATCAGAGCTCGACCTTCTCTTCAGTAAGGATGTAATTACTTTCTTTTCCTCCCCAGAGTTGGACAATGGACAAGACAATATACACCCACATATAGCATCATGCAGTGGAGAGAAGTCCCATCTGTGTTTACATTGCAGTAGGACATTTACAGATGAGAACACTCTTATACTACATCAGAAAACACACCAGGGCGTGTATGAGCTAAGAAGCCACCTTAGAACACAAACTGGAGTGAAAATTTTCAACAGTGGAGAAAAGCCTTATCGATGTCCCAATTTTGATAAAGGATTTCCTGAAAAGAGTAATCTTACTCCTCACCTTAGAACACATGCAGGAGAGAAACCATTTAAGTGTTCTCAGTGTGATACAGGTTTTGCTCAAAGAAGTACCCTTATTCGACATTTAAGAACACACAGTGTACAAAAGCCTTATCAATGTTCCCATTGTGATAAGACATTTGCTCATAAGAATATTCTAACTAGCCACCGTAGAAAACATACAGGAGAGAAACCCTTCAAATGTTCCAAGTGTGATAAGGTTTTTACTTTCCAGAGTTATCTTACTACCCATTTAAGAACACATACAGGAGAGAAACCCTTTAAGTGTCCCCATTGTGATAAGACATTTTCTCGAAAGACTATTCTTACGAACCACCTTAGAACACATACAGGAGAGAAACCCTTTACCGTATTTGCCGGCGTAAAGGCCGCACCGCGCATAGGCCGCACCCCCAACTTTGACATTTCGTAGAGAGAAAAAAAAAAAAAAAAAAAAAAAAAAGGAAACAAAAAAAACGGACCAAAGAAAATAATCATAATTTTCTCGTAGAACTCTATTTTTCCTACAAACTAATACCAAAATTATCAATCATTTCATAAATTTACAGGAAGTTTACCTAAAAAATGATCGTAATTTAGCAAGTCTTCATAGATTTTTAGGCAGATTAGCACATTCATTGGACACTAGAGGGCGCTTCGCATGCATACAGAAACATGAATGGCCTGCCATAACCAAGCTGTGGCCATAATGTTATCCGGTCTTACCCCTATCGTACCGCCAAATGGAGAAAATAAACAAGCTTTTGTATTGTTATTAGAGATCTACCGAGGTTAGTTTGTCGCTTTAATTAATTAGATAGTCTCAATTATAATTCAGAATTATCTTACTGAAAAGTTAAGAACACCGACGATTGCGCGCTGCAGCGCTGTGAATCTCGGAAGCTGCGTTGGATTTGTTGCAACTCCCAGCCCGGTAGCTCCCCACCACAGAGTGTGTGAGCGAGGTATGATTTTGGTTACCGGGCCATGCGCTGTCTAAAGCCAAGGACATTTTTAGTACGAGTTTCTAGTCAGTTTTCTTCTTATTTCTTTGGTTGCACAATGATTAAAAAGATAACTTCTTCAAATTTGCTGCTGACGTGAGTTCATACTAGATCTTGTTCGATGTGTTTTCAAGTCAATTTTGTTAATATATTTTTTTGTATGAAGTTGCCTACAAATAATGGATGTGCTGTTTTGACTTGCGATTTTTACTGTTTCGGCGTATACGCCGCACCCCGACTTTTTGATATTTTCTCTTCCAAAAATACTGCGGCCTTTACGCCGGCAAATACGGTAAGTGTCCCCATTGTGATAAGACATTTTCTCACAAGACTAGTCTAACTAGCCATCGTAGAAGACATACAGGAGAGAAACCCTTCAAATGTTCCCAGTGTGATGTGGGTTTTTCTCAAAGAAGTAACCTTACTAGACATTTAAGAACACACAGCCTCAACAAAAAGCCTCAACGATGTTCCCATTGTAATAAGACGTTTTCTCAAAAGAATGAGCTTACTAGCCACCTTATAATACATACACAAGAGAAACCTCTCAACTTTTCCCAGTGTGACAAGGCTTTTACTTGCCAAAGTAATCTAGGAAAGCATCTAAGGAAGCATACAGGAGAAAAGACTTTTCACTGTTCCTATTGTAAAAAGGGTTTTTCTGAAAGAAGTCACCTTAAAAGACATCTTAGAACACATACAGGAGAGAAACCATTTAAGTGTCCCCATTGTGATAAGGGGCTTTCTCGAAAGACTATTCTTACTGACCACCTTAGAACACATACAGGAGAGAAACCCTTTAAGTGTCCCCATTGTGATAAGACATTTTCTCACAAGACTAGTCTAACTAGCCACCGTAGAAGACATACAGGAGAGAAACCCTTCAAATGTTCCCAGTGTGATGTGGGTTTTTCGCAAAGAAGTAGCCTTACTAGACATTTAAGAACACACAGCCTCAACAAAAAGCCTCAACGATGTTCCCATTGTGATGAGACGTTTTCTCGAAAGAATGAGCTTACTAGCCACCTTACAACACATACAGGAGAGAAACCATTTAAGTGTCCCCATTGTGATAAGACATTTTCTGTAAAGACTAATCTTACTGCCCACCTTAGAACACATACAGGAGAGAAACCATTTAAGTGTTCTCAGTGTGATAAGGGGTTTTCTGTAAAGAATGAGCTTACTAGCCACCTTAGAACACATACAGGAGAGAAACCATTTAAGTGTCCCCATTGTGATAAGACATTTTCTGTAAAGACTAATCTTACTGCCCACCTTAGAACACATACAGGAGAGAAACCATTTAAGTGTTCTCAGTGTGATAAGGGGTTTTCTGTAAAGACTATTCTTACTGCCCACCTTAGAACACATACAGGAGAGAAACCATTTAAGTGTTCTCAGTGTGATAAGGGGTTTTCTGTAAAGACTATTCTTACTGCCCACCTTAAAACACATACAGGAGAGAAACCCTTTAAGTGTCCCCGTTGTGATAAGACATTTTCTGTAAAGACTTATCTTACTGCCCACCTTAGAACACATACAGGAGAGAAACCATTTAAGTGTTCTCAGTGTGATAAGGGGTTTTCTGTAAAGACTATTCTTACTGCCCACCTTAGAACACATACAGGAGAGAAACCCTTTAAGTGTCCCCATTGTGATAAGACATTTTCTTTAAAGACTAATCTTACTGCCCACCTTAGAACACATACAGGAGAGAAACCCTTTAAGTGTCCCCATTGTGATAAGACATTTTCTTTAAAGACTAATCTTACTGCCCACCTTAGAACACACACAGGAGAGAAACCCTTCAAGTGTCCCCATTGTGATAAGACATTTTCTTTAAAGACTAATCTTACTGCCCACCTTAGAACACATACAGGAGAGAAAACCTTTAAGTGTTCCCAGTGTGATAAGGTTTTTACTTGCCAAAGTTATCTTACTACCCACCTTAGAACACATACAGGAGAGAAACCCTTTAAGTGTCCCCATTGTGATAAGACATTTTCTTTAAAGACTAATCTTACTGCCCACCTTAGAACACATACAGGAGAGAAACCATTTAAGTGTTCCCAGTGTGATAAGGTTTTTACTTGCCAAAGTTATCTTACTACCCACCTTAGAACACATACAGGAGAGAAACCCTTTAAGTGTCCCCATTGTGATAAGACATTGGCCCGTATTCTGAAGTCTTGTCTAACTTAGCCACGACTAAAGTTAAACAACTGTTTAGTTAGACAAGACTTAAACAGGACTTAGACGCGAGGTCGTGTCTAAGTCCTGTTTAACTAAATTTCGTATTCTGAAGTCGTGTCTAAGTCTCGTCTAACTAAACAACTGTGTAAGTCCTGTCTAAGTGGTGTTTAACTAAACAACTGTTTAAGTTCTGCGCAAGTCTTGTTTAACTTTCAATCACGACTTCTGCGCATGCCCAGTAGGCGTTAATTCTGACGATAGACCCAATGCGCATGCGTGCGCGCACCGGATAAATAAATTAACGCGCACAGCTAGCTGTGCGCGTGCCTAGCTGTACGCGTGCTGGTACCATGGTGATGTGATCGTGACGTAATGACTAGACTGCATGCATGTATTGCACTGTGTGCATGACGTACGTACGTGTACTACACGTACACTGTACACAAACGCACTAATAATATCACTTATCAGTGCCTCTGTGCTCGGAAGAACCAGCAAAGAAACTTCTCCAACAGAATGGTTAGTTTATTATAGATTATGGAATTTCCAAGATGTCACCATTAGATAAGAATAGTTAATATTATCGAGAAAAAAAATCAGGCTACACGAGAAAAAATCCTGCAAAATGTATTTGAAATTGTATAGGATGCACGTACCATCGTTCTCCCCGCAAGTTCGGGGTCAGCAAGTAGAGTGTACCGTAGACGTTGAAAAGCAGCAGAATCGCGCCCTTAAACAGGACTTAAACAACCCCTCGCAGTTGTCTAAAGTTAAACAGGACTTAGACAGGACTTCGTGTTTAACTTTATTTAAACACGACTTCAGAATACGAAAAACGTTAGACACGACTTCGGGTCTAAAGTTAGACGGGACTTAGACAGGACTTAGACAACTGTTTAGTTAAACAGGAGTTAGACACGACTTCAGAATACGGGCCATTTTCTTTAAAGACTAATCTTACTGCCCACCTTAGAACACATACAGGAGAGAAACAATTTAAGTGTTCTCAGTGTGATAAGGGGTTTTCTGTAAAGAATGAGCTTACTAGCCACCTTAGAACACATACAGGAGAGAAACCATTTAAGTGTCCCCATTGTGATAAGACATTTTCTGTAAAGACTAATCTTACTGCCCACCTTAGAACACATACAGGAGAGAAACCATTTAAGTGCTCTCAGTGTGATAAGGGGTTTTCTGTAAAGACTATTCTTACTGCCCACCTTAGAACACATACAGGAGAGAAACCATTTAAGTGTTCTCAGTGTGATAAGGGGTTTTCTGTAAAGACTATTCTTACTGCCCACCTTAAAACACATACAGGAGAGAAACCCTTTAAGTGTCCCCGTTGTGATAAGACATTTTCTGTAAAGACTTATCTTACTGCCCACCTTAGAACACATACAGGAGAGAAACCATTTAAGTGTTCCCAGTGTGCTAAGGTTTTTACTTGCCAAAGTTATCTTACTACCCACCTTAGAACACATACAGGAGAGAAACCCTTTAAGTGTCCCCATTGTGATAAGAAATTTGCTCAACATAATGATCTTACTAGCCACCTTAGAAGACATACAGGAGAGAAACCCTTCAAATGTTCCCAGTGTGATAAGGATTTTTCCCATAAAGCTTCCCTTAATCGACATTTAAGCCTCACTGAAAAGCCTCTACAATGTTTCCATTGTGATAAGAGTTTTTCTCAGAGATGTCACTTTACTAGACATTTAAGAACACACGATGGAGAAAAACCTTTCAAATGTTCCCATTGTGATGAAAGTTTTTTTCAAAGTAGTACCCTTATAAGCCATTTCAGAACACACAGTGGAGAAAAGCCCCATTGATGTTTCCATTGTGATAAGAGTTTTTCTCAACTAGCTGATCTTAATCATAGTATTAGTACACACACATGTACTAGAAAAACAAAAAATCTCTCAATTGTAATATGAGATTTTTCTTATGAAAGGGATGTTATTGGCTAGCTTAGATAACAGGTGGGAAACCCTTTAATGTTCTTAATGTGTGTACAGGTTTTTCTGAACGAGGTCATCTTACCTGTCATGTGAGGACACACACTAGGGAAAAACCTTATAAAAGGGATGTTACTACAGGAGAGAGTGTTCCTAAAAAATAAGGAATTTTCTTATAGAAGTGAGCTCACAAGGCATTTAAAAACACACCCTATAAATGTTAAGATTGTATAAAGAGATTTTCTTTTAACAGTAATCTTACTAGTTATCTGAAAATACATACTGGAGAAAAGCCATTAAAATGTTGACTTTGTTCTGAAATGGATTTTATCGTTTATACAGTGCAGGATCTTGATAATTGCCTGATAACACACAGAGTAGAAATGCCACATAATGTATTAAACATAATAAAGGGATTTTGTTGTATAAGTGGTCTTTAAAAAATAATATAATCCTAGGTTTATTGCTTCAAATCTAAATACATAAAAAAGCAGTTTGTGAAGGACATTTACATAATAATGAGTGGTACATTATGAAATAAAGCGTACAGAATACATTGAAGATAACATTGATAACAATCTTACATACTTGTTTTGCCATTTCAATGTATGTTCAGCATTTGTCCTTGTCTTGTGGCAATAACTCTTTCCACTTTTTCTAAATAAATAATTTCCAACTTGAACTGTGACCATTATTAAATCCGTAGTTATACCAACATTGATTTATTTACTTTGTATTCTTCCTGATCCCCCTTTATCATTCTTTTCAGAACTTCAGAGAGTACTCTTTAAATTTGTATGGAGTAATAAGAAGGACAAAATTAGACGCTCTTTGCTTTACAATGAATATAAAGAAGGAGGCCTTAAAATGCCTCATTTATTATCTTTTAACCGTGCAATGAAAGTTACTTGGATAAAGAGATACTTTTATGAAGAAAACAAAAGTAAATGGAAAATGTTTTTTTGCACATTGCACAAGTATAGCAGGTGATATTTTTTTTAGCGGCAATCTCCGCTCTGATCATTTAATGTTCAATAAATACGCAGATCCTTTCTGGAATGATATATTGATTGTATGGAGTCACTACAAGTACTACAACCCAGTTAAATTCAAAGAAATTATTTCCCAACCCCTTTGCCTGAATTCTCATATACTGGTAGGCGGAAAACCTCTCAATATTAATATATGTTTTAATTCTGATATGATATATGTTAAGGATATTTTGCGCATTGATGGTTCATTCATGTCTTTTGATCAAATCCAACGCCAAATAAATTTTCTGTCTGATTCATTTATGTTATATTATTCAGTTCTTTCCGCATTACCAAGTAGTTGGAAACGTATTCAAAAACAGGGAAATTTTGAAATAGAAAGTTCTTCTCTAAATTGTGTTAATACTTTATTGAACGAATTCCGTAAACCTAAAAAGATATCAAAACTTACGTACAATATTTTCTTTAACAAATTTTCATCAAATATCTCAGAAACAAATCAACAGGATAAATGGCAAAGGGATCTACAAAATAATTTAAACGATTCACTAATTTGGAAAAAAATTCACCACAACAAATTGATTGAAAGCCTACAAAAAATTAATCTAGATGGTAAGAACATACGTCTCATATCTAAACTTTACTGGGAGGAGACAGCTGCCATCAAAATTAACAATGAAATTACAGGTTACACAAAAATCAAAAGAGGAGTACGTCAGGGATGCGTAATATGTCCCCATCTCTGTTCAACTTGTGCACAAGTTGGTATTCAGGGAAATTTCAGATATGAAATAGTATTGGGGGTGTAAATATTAATAATTGGGGTGTATTGGGGGTGTAAATATTAAGTGTCCCCATTGTGATAAGACATTTTCTCGAAAGAATCATGTTACTCGTCACCTTAGAACACATACAGGAGAGACACCATTTAAGTGTTCTCAGTGTGATAAGGGGTTTTCTGTAAAGACTAATCTTACTGCCCACCTTAGAACACATACAGGAGAGAAACCATTTAAGTGTCCCCATTGTGATAAGACATTTTCTCGAAAGACTAATCTTACTGCCCACCTTAGAACACATACAGGAGAGAAACCATTTAAGTGTCCCCATTGTGATAAGACATTTTCTCGAAAGACTATTCTTACTAGCCACATTAGAACACATACAGGGGAGAAACCCTTTAAATGTTCCTAGTGTGATGAGGGTTTTCCCTATAAAAGTACCCTTATTAGACATTTTAGAACACACAGCCTCGATGAAGAGCCTCATCGATGCTACCATTGTGATAAGAGATTTTCTCAACAAAGTACTCTTACATGTACCTCTCATGTAAGGACATACAGGAGAAAAGCCTTATCGATGTTCCAGGTGTGATAAGGGTTTTTCTCAAAAGGCTAGGCTTACTAACCACCTTAGGACACATACATGTACTAGAAAAAAAATGAAAATGTTTCGATTGTAATATGAGATTTTCTATCAATTGGATGTTATTAGCCAGCTTAGATATATTACAGGCGGGAAACCCTTGAATTGTTCCGTTTTTATACAGGTTTTTCTGAACGAGGTCATTATAACTTGTCATGTTAGACACACACACATGAGAAAAACCTTATAAATGTCGCGATTGTACTAAGAGATTTTGTTTAAATGAAGCGATCCACGGCGAGACGGCCTGGTGGCCAAAGCCGCCCCGCCTAGTACCGACTCAGAAAATGTTAAAGTATAACTTTAGTTCTTGAAGTGTAGAAAACGAAGATAAATCAAAGTCACTAAAACAAATTCTTGATTGGAGTTGAAGATTTATTAAAATAAACGTAGAATTAATAAAATCACGAAGTTCATGTTTTGGGGCTGGGCAACCCAATTGAAGCAAATTAGTCACTCATGTCGGTATCGTAACGGAAAAGAGGTCCCGCTCCAGAGACGCAACTCGGTTTTTATCCTCCCGAACTGACACGCCTCGTCCTCCCAAAAATTGAGGCGTGTCACACAGACGCTTTGCGTAATATCAATCCACCCATAATTAGTTTCCGTATTAAAAGGTCCTATATTTCTTGGCGAATTTACCCCCCGGATATAAGGCGCTCCGGATGATCCGCATCTCTATTCCTCACATACTTCTTTCACGCACCCACCTGTGTCTCTTACATTCTAATCTTTCAAACAAGAGATGCAAATCACCTGGAGACCCAACAACCCTGGAAATTAATTCAATGAATATAAAAAGGGATAAATGTTGCTATGTCCGTCCACACTAGCGAGCCCACATGCTTCTGGCTATTACACACCTGTAATCCTCACTTCCTCTCTCATACTATTTCGATAGTGTGAACAGACCCGGCAACAAGGAAAAACCCTTCCAATTGTAATACAAATCTATTTCCCAAATTTGCCTAATTAAATTTAAGTCAACTGTGGCGACACGCCCAGCGACACCTAATCCAATCGGCCAAGCCGAAAAAATAGAGCAAAAATTAAGAGCGCAACGTCTCGGAACAGGTGTTAAAAATAGCATACAAGGAATTCACCATGTATGTTTGTAAACATAGTTCTAGCGAAATCTACCAGGAATTTGCCTTGTACATGTACGTCAATGAACCTTTGAGGAAAACGTAAACACGAGAATATCCATATCATTACAAACTCCCCTACTGAAACGATCTGTCCCATAAGATCGCAACAAAAAAATAGAAATTCTCGTCATATATACGTTCCCCTCCAAGTTACACACACGTACATGGCTGCCCAGCCCTAAAACATCTACAATAACTTCATATACATCATATAAAGCCAACATGGCTTCCGAATTACAATATGTAAACACACATAGCAAACTGGTAATCCAACTCACAAAAATACCCACTAGTGCAAACATACTTAGAAATATCACCCCCCATTAATGACACCCTTGGCATATTAAAACAGCATGTCAATATTTTGCAAGTAAATGCACAACCTTAACGCAATAGTCAATTAAACAAACCCTCAAACTCCAAAATTTTCCATTTTTTCCCTCCTCTCTTCATCCACATAATTAACCAATTATGTGGTCCTGCCTAAAGAGGCAATAACAAAATTAAAATTTTAATCCAAAAACCTATAATAAATTCCTCGAGTGTCCTATTCCTGCATGGTTAACAAAAACGCCCAAATTTCCCTACTGCAGACTATGAAACCTACCACTATCACGTCTCCAACTACTTGTAATTATAGCCTGAAACTGTTTGCGAAGTTTAGGGAAGTGTCACAACCCCGGCGGTCAGAGCCGGATACCCCAGACCTCCTCCAACCGGTTGTTGGGACTGCTCCTGCCACTTGTAAACATCCATATGTAATCAGAAACTACTTAAAAATTGAAATATACTAGTGAAAATACATGCACCTTCTCCGAACACTGGAATAGACAACGATACGTGTAACTGAAAAAATATAAAAATTTGTAATATGCAAACCTATGGAATATACAACCAATTTCAACACGCAATTAGGCAAAAATCACCATAACCATAAATGACCCCAATTACAAATCACCACAATTACATCCAAAAATTGTTTCGACAAAAACTAGAAATCCGACGGAGCGTACGCCGATACAACTCTGTCCCCCCGGGGAGTGAGGTGCACCCCATCCGTACTACCAATTGAAGCGATCCACGGCGAGACGGCCCGGTGGCCAAAGCCGCCCCGCCTAGTACCGACTCAGAAAATGTTAAAGTATAACTTTAGTTCTTGAAGTGTAGAAAACGAAGATAAATCAAAGTCACTAAAACAAATTCTTGATTGGAGTTGAAGATTTATTAAAATAAACGTAGAATTAATAAAATCACGAAGTTCATGTTTTGGGGCTGGGCAACCCAATTGAAGCAAATTAGTCACTCATGTCGGTATCGTAACGGAAAAGAGGTCCCGCTCCAGAGACGCAACTCGGTTTTTATCCTCCCGAACTGACACGCCTCGTCCTCCCAAAAATTGAGGCGTGTCACACAGACGCTTTGCGTAATATCAATCCACCCATAATTAGTTTCCGTATTAAAAGGTCCTATATTTCTTGGCGAATTTACCCCCCGGATATAAGGCGCTCCGGATGATCCGCATCTCTATTCCTCACATACTTCTTTCACGCACCCACCTGTGTCTCTTACATTCTAATCTTTCAAACAAGAGATGCAAATCACCTGGAGACCCAACAACCCTGGAAATTAATTCAATGAATATAAAAAGGGATAAATGTTGCTATGTCCGTCCACACTAGCGAGCCCACATGCTTCTGGCTATTACACACCTGTAATCCTCACTTCCTCTCTCATACTATTTCGATAGTGTGAACAGACCCGGCAACAAGGAAAAACCCTTCCAATTGTAATACAAATCTATTTCCCAAATTTGCCTAATTAAATTTAAGTCAACTGTGGCGACACGCCCAGCGACACCTAATCCAATCGGCCAAGCCGAAAAAGTAGAGCAAAAATTAAGAGCGCAACGTCTCGGAACAGGTGTTAAAAATAGCATACAAGGAATTCACCATGTATGTTTGTAAACATAGTTCTAGCGAAATCTACCAGGAATTTGCCTTGTACATGTACGTCAATGAACCTTTGAGGAAAACGTAAACACGAGAATATCCATATCATTACATAAATAAAAGGATGTTACTAGCCACTGTAGAACACATACAGGAGAGAAACCATGGGCGTAAATCCTTACGTA